TTGGTTCACTGCAACATCTGCCTCCTTTATTCAAGCAATTCTTCTGCCTCCGCCTCCCAAGTAGCTGGGACTACAGGTGTGCACCACCATGCCCAGCTAACTTTTGTATTTTTAGTAGAGACGGGGTTTCACCATGTTGACCAGGATGGTCTCGATCTCTTGACATTGTGATCCACCCGCCTCAGCCTCCCAAAGTGCTGGGATTGTAAGTGTGAGCCACCACGCCTGCCCTATTTTTTCATATTTACAAGTAGGAACATCTTTTGTCTTATACTCTTGAATCTTCTAAGGATTCTCCATTTTCTTTAGTGATGTCTTTAATTTTACAGTGAGAGCCAATGTTCACTCTTTTATTTTTTGTTTTGTTTTTTTTAGAGACAGAGTTTCACCACGTTGGTCAGGCTGCTCTCGAACTCCTGACCTCAGGTGACCCACCTGCCTCAGCCTCCCAAAGTGCTGGGATTACAGGCATGAGCTACTGCACCCGGCCTCGTTCACTCTTGCTCATAAGCCACTGCATGATCTTACTGCTCTTCTATTGCTTTTGGAGATACTGATATATTTGTATATATATTATGTGTGTGTATGTGTGTGTGTGTGTGTATTTTTTTTTTCCAGTTGTCAAATGACCCTTTATTGAAATATTTTCCTTTGTGCTTCTTAACTATCTGGGCATTCCACAGCACCACTGTTAATGTCACGTATGATGTCATGAGTGTGGTGGCCATCAACATTATAGCCCACAGACTGGGCAGTGCCCAGGATCTCTTTAATGGTTCCAGAAAGTTCTCTGGCTAAAGATCAGTTCTCCATCTGTCGAGCAATGTTTAATGTTTTTCTGTTTTTTCTGTCTCTTGGTGTTTCCTTGAGGACTTTGATAATCAGGGCAGAGGCAGAATGCACCACCTAAATATGGGCTTGTTTATTCTAAACAGTCAGTTTTACTAAAATCTTCAGGCCCTTCCAGTCACTCGTTGCCTTGGCAATGTTATCACCAACATTTTTTGAAGACAGACCCAGGGAGCCAATCTTGGATGCCAGTGCAGAAGTGGCAGCAACTTCACCTGGCCTCAGGTGATCTGCCTGCCTTGGCCTCCTAAAGTGCTGGGATTATAGGAATGAGCCATCATGTCTGGCAGACTCAATGTTTTTTATTACTTCCTCTGACGTATTAAGTCTCTAAATCTTTATTTGATGAACACTAGTTTTTAGGCGTGTAATTTGGAGAAAATTCTTTCCACATTCATTACATGTACAGAGTTTCTGTAGTATAAGTTCTCTGATGTTTACTAAGGTAGCAGTCTTTAAACTTTTTGGAACCAGAGACTGGTTTCAAAGACACTTTTCCATGGACCAAGATTGTTATAGACACTGTGCAACCTAGTTCCATTGAATGGGCAGTTCACAATGGAGTTTTAGCTTCTATGAGAAGAATCTGTGCAGCCTGGTTTCTAACAGGCCATGGACCAGTACTGGTTCACAACCTGAAAGGTGGGGACCCCTGCACTAAGATATAATCAATAATTAAATACTTTGCCACAATCTTCACTTTTTGTATTGGAAGCATGTAAAAAGAAAATCTGTTTTTGTATTTTATAAAGGAGATATGATTTTTTTCTTTGTAGCTGATCTTTGTCCTTGATATAGATAGATCAGAACACTGAAAGAGAATTTCCACACCAATTCAGATATCTAGGAATGTTTTGGTTGGGGTTCATTTATTCAGCACACATGTATGTATTAAATACCTACTTTGTCCAATCACTTTCCTAGAACTTTGGCATAATTCAGTGACTAAAGCAGCAATATCCTCTGGGCCTCAATTCTGTTCAGGGATTGAGACACTCCAAATAGACATCAAAAGGTCATTTTCACAGAATATGAGACCCTCATGACCTCTTCTATATATGGATGCATCCTCTCAGATTCTGATCAGGCTTTCTGAGCTCAGGGCCAACTATAAACTGGGTGGACTTCAGGTCCAGAAGGAAGACCTCCTGTCACCCAAGAGTATGGGAAGAATATGTAAACTATGGCTGAGGAGAGGTTGATAGAACTTTGGGTCTCCCCAGCACTTTGGGAGGCCGAGGCGGGTGGATCACAAGGTCGAGAGATCGAGACCAACCTGGTGAACATGGTGAAACCCCGTCTCTACTAAAAAAAAAAATACAAAAAATTAGCTGGGCATGGTGGCGTGTGCCTGTAATCCCAGCTACTCAGGAGGCTGAGGCAGGAGAATTGCCTGAACCCAGGAGGCGGAGGTTGCGGTGAGCCGAGATCGCGCCATTGCACTCCAGCCTGGGTAACAAGAGCGAAACTCCGTCTCAAAAAAAAAAAAAAAAAGAACTTTGGGTCTCATACACCTTATGTTTCCCATGAGAGGAATGACTAGGGCTTAGCACTTCGGGAGGTGAAGGCAGGCGGATCACCTGAGGTCAGGAGTTTGAGACCAGCCAGACCAATATGGTGAAACCCTGTCTCCACTAAAAACACAAAAATTAGCTGGGCATGGTGGCGGGTGCCTGTGGTCCCAGCTACTCGGGAGGCTGAGGCAGAAGAGTCATGTGGACCAAGGAGATGTAGCTTGCAGTGAGCTGAGATTGCACCACTGCACTGCAACCTGGGTGATAGAGGAGATTCCATCTCTAAGTAAATAAATAAAATGTAGGCCGGGCGCGGTGGCTCAAGCCTGTAATCCCAGCACTTTGGGAGGCTGAGGCGGGTGGATCACAAGGTCAAGAGATCGAGACCATCCTGGTCAACATGGTGAAACCCCGTCTCTAATAAAAATACAAAAATTAGCTGGGCATGGTGGCGCACGCCTGTAGTCCCAGCTTCTCGGGAGGCTGAGGCAGGAGAATTGCCTGAACCCAGGAGGCGGAGGTTGCGGTGAGCCGAGATCGCGCCATTGCACTCCAGCCTGGGTAACAAGAGCGAAACTCCGTCTCAAAAAAAAAATAAAAATAAATAAATAAATAAATAAATAAATAAATAAAATGTAATCTTCGAAGGGTGTTTTAGCCAGCTCTCTAGGCTGCTAGGATTATGAGAAATCCATGACTTCCTTCCAGGGCAAAGAACAGCACTGAAAAATAACATAATAGCTGTGACATAGATTTTTCTTTCTTTTTTTTTTTTTTGAGACGGAGTTTCGCTCTTGTTACCCAGGCTGGAGTGCAATGGCGCGATCTTGGCCCACCACAACCTCCGCCTTCTGGGTTCAGGCAGTTCTCCTGCCTCAGCCTCCTGAGTAGCTGGGATTACAGTCACGCGCCACCACGCCCAGTTAATTTTTTGTATTTTTCGTAGAGACGGGGTTTCACCATGTTGACCAGGATGGTCTCGATCTCTCGACCTCGTGATCCACCTGCCTCGGCCTCCCAAAGTGCTGGGATTACAGGCTTGAGCCACCGCGCCCGGCGTGACAGATTTTTCAAGCATAGCTTTGATTTGACATGTCAGAACATTTGAGATTCTATAGCCCTGCACCAGACTGTTTAACATTGCTCCACCAACTCTTAATTTTTGCTGAAATCAAGGCTTAACAAAATAACTTACTTATAAAGTCTAACAAGTGGAAAGCAAATTAGCCAGAGATAATCAGTTCTTCCTGAAAAACACTTTTCTCATTAATTTTTTTCTGAAGTTACTTGACTGGTTTCAGGTAGAATTTTAAATTCTCTTTAAAAACAAAAGGACTGGGCCGGGCGCGGTGGCTCAAGCCTGTAATCCCAGCACTTTGGGAGGCTGAGGCGGGTGGATCACGAGGTCAAGAGATCGAGACCATCCTGGTCAACATGGTGAAACCCCGTCTCTACTAAAAATACAAAAATTAGCCGGGCATGGTGGTGAGTGCCTGTAATCCCAGCTACTCGGGAGGCTGAGGCAGGAGAATTGCCTGAACCCAGGAGGTGGAGGTTGCGGTGAGCCGAGATCGCGCCATTGCACTCCAGCCTAGGTAACAAGAGTGAAACTCCGTCTCAAAAAAAAAAAAAACAAAAAACAAACAAACAAACAAACAAAAAGGACTGGCTTGGCGCGGTAGCTCAAGCCTGTAATCTCAGCAGGTGGTCTGGGCAGGGTCCAATGGGTCGCTTGTCCGCACCGGGGGTCCCAAGTTGAGGGACTGGGCGAGTGCGGAGGGGTCTGGGTATCCCGTGGACTGGGACTCGTGGTGGCCCTTGCCGGGGTAGCGCTGGTTCTCACTCTGGGAAGTTGGTCCCTGCTGCCCAGGAGGGCTCTGCGCCCACGTAGGAGGGACCGTGGCGGGGAGGAAGAGGAGCCAGGCTGCCTAGGAGTTCTTAGTATGGCGGGGCTGGGAGAATTCGGGGAGCCGGAAGCCGGCCACAGATTTCTGGGGGGCGGTGGGCGCTCTCCTGCCGGTGCCCGAGTGGACATGGGGGTGGCCTGCCTGCGGGGAGCCTGAGGACCCGGGACACCCGCCCCTGCCAAGGATGCCCGGCCTGCCCTTGCACTCCACCTGGCCATGGCCATGGTGGCGGCACCACCTTGGAGCCCCTGAGCGAGAAGCAGCGCGGGTTGTGTGGGAGAGGAAGGGGGCAATAGGTGGGGAAGGAGCCAGCAGCCACTGAGAAGGGGCCAGGGGAACTGGACACGCCTGGGTGGGGAAGAGGCTGCGTGTGAGTGGCACTGCCAGGTGAGTTCCGGGTTCTGCTGCCACTGCTCCAGAAGGACACAGCCGTGTGTATAGCTCCTGGAGCCGCAGGGCCACCGCCGAAGCGTGGGAGGGGAGCCTGGCCCGTGGCATCCACAGACCCTGCCTCTAGGCCCCAGGTCCTAGCCAGATTTGCCAAAGCCAGAGGCTGGAATTTGAAGCATGAGTGAGTTCAACTGAAACTCAGCCCCTGCCCAAAGTGGCCAGCATGACGCAGTGACACTCTAGTGCCACCACTGCCCCTACCCTATTCAAGCCGGGTGGGCACACCCAACACCAGCTAGACATAAGGGTCAGATGTCTCAGAAGTCTGGGGTGTTGGCAGTCAGGGTCTTGCAAGACAAGGAAGGTCTTCTAGAAGGAACTCTGAGGCTAGGAAAGGAGACGGAGCTCCAGGCCCACCTTGCAAAGGCGCCGCAGTTTTCGAGGTGTGGCCCTGACAATCCCCTGCCAAATCGCCAAGGGCTCCGGGTGCCATTTGCCCTGCACACGCGCTTCCAGACTCCTAGTTGCCAACCAGAGAAGGGTGGCCTGGAGGAGGCTGCCAAGGACCCAGCCTGGGCCAGGGGGGTGCTGACACCCCCATCCCCACCCAACCTCACAACCATGGGAGGCCCTGGACTTGTGAGTGAGAAGGATTGGGGCAGGTGGTGCAGCGGACCCCTAACTGATTTAAGGATGAATTAGCTGAGTGGAGCCCCCTGGTTGGTGGAGTGGTGGAGCGCTCTGAGATGTGGTTGGGGATTGCAGGGGGTTGGAGGACGATGCCTGCCGGCATCTGTAGGGCTCCAGGCTGCCAGTTTTCTAGCCAGACTCTTGCTTTCCTCCTTGAACCTCAGTGTCCTCACCTGTCCAAGACTATGAATATGGCAGAGCCATTTGGATCATTAGGCCAGATATTCCTGCTAAGTGTTTATCAACCTGCCTCTCTGGATTTTTTTCTTTCCTGACTCTGTTAAAAAACTGCTGCCCAAGGCCGGGCGCGGTGGCTCAAGCCTGTAATCCCAGCACTTTGGGAGGCCGAGGCGGGTGGATCACGAGGTCGAGAGATCGAGACCAACCTGGTCAACATGGTGAAACCCCGTCTCTACTAAAAATACAAAAAATTAGCTGGGCATGGTGGTGCGTGCCTATAATCCCAGCTACTCAGGAGGCTGAGGCAGGAGAATTGCCCGAACCCAGGAGGCGGAGGTTGCAGTGAGCCGAGATCGTGCCATTGCACTCCAGCCTGGGTAACAAGAGCGAAACTCCGTCTCAAAAAAAAAAAGAAAATTCTCGCGGTGTTTCAAGCCTGTAATCCCAGCACTTTGGGAGGCCGAGGCGGGTGGATAACGAGGTCAAGAGGACGAGACCATCCTGGTCAACATGGTGAAACCCCGTCTCTACTAAAAGTACAAAAAATTAGCTGGGCATGGTGGCGTGTGCCTGTAATCCCAGCTACTCAGGAGGCTGAGGCAGGAGAATTGCCTAACCCAGGAGACGGAGGTTGCGGTGAGCTGAGATTGCGCCATTGCACTCCAGCCTGGGTAACAAGAGCGAAACTCCGTCTCAAAAAAAAAAACCTGAAATCCTTGTTTCCACAGTGCGTACAGTTCTGCTATTTCATAGTGGGATTTGAGACAAAATATATTTTTGATGGTGACAGAGTAATATCAATGTCTAAAGTTTTGATCTATCTCTCAGAATTGAGAAGATGATCAAAAGGGAGAAATTGTTACATTAATTATGCCTAAAGTTGCCCCCTTTCCTGTTTAAATTTGGTCACTAGGTTTTTTTGTACATAGTAAACTGAAACCTAACTGGATATATAAATAGACTGTAACACATTATTGTATCAGCCACTGTGTTTTTGCCAATAAAAGGACATCAAGTGTTCAAATTATGTTAAATAAGACAAATCCCAACCTGTAATCAATCTGGCTGTTTCTGTATCCCACTCCCATTTTCTTTATGTCACTTTGCTTTTTCCATCCACGAACCTGTTTTCATCATGTGGCTGAGCTAGTCTCTCTTGAGCCTACTCTGGATCCACTGGTTGCCCAATTTGCAAATCAATCTATGCTCAATTAAACTCTGTTAAAAATTTAGTTTCTCTAAAGTTTTTTCTCTTTTTAAAAGTTTTCAAATATTTTCTATGATAAAAATAAATAATGTGCTGTTGGGCTTTGATTTTCTAAGCTCATTCCTTAGTCATCTCCTAAAATTGTTCTGTCTTCAAAATGCATCTCCATTTTTTTCTTTTTTTGAGACGGGGTCTCACTTTATCGCTAAGTGTGGATGGCAGTGGTGTAACTAATCATGGCTCACTGCAGCCTTGACTTTCCAGGCTCAAGCAATCCGCCTGCCTCCGCTACCTAAGTAGCTGGGACTACAGACAAGTATCACCATGGCTGGCTAATTTTTTCACGGAAACAAAATCTTACTGTGTGGCCCAGGCTGCAGTGGAACTCCTGAACTTACATAATTCTCCCATCTTAGTCTCCCAAAGTGCTAGGATTACAGGTCTGAGCCACTGTGTCCTTCTGCAATTTCCTTCCCTCCCCAGCCTATAATTTCTTGAGAGGTTTATTCCCCATGGTAAACAGTATTATATGAGCACAAACCTAAAAGAAATCTGGCTTCTTTTGTAGAAGTGTCACTGTCCAGAATTTCAAGGGTTTCTGGCAGCTACCTTATTTATTTATTTAATTTATTTTTAATTTTTTTTTGAGACATAGTTTTGCTCTTGCTGCCCAGGCTGGAGTGCAATGGTGCGATCTCGGCTCACTGCAATCTCCGCCTCCCTAGTTAAAGCGATTCTCCTGCCTCAGCCTCCCGAATAGCTGGGATTATAGGCAGGTGCCACCACGCCCGGATAATTTTGTGTTTTTAGTGGAGACAAGGTTTCTCCATGTTGGTCAGGCTGGACTAAAACTCCCGACTTCAGGTGATCCACCTACCTCGGTCGCCCAAAGTGCTGGAATTACAGGCGTGAGCCACCGCGCCTGGCCCGATACAATATGTTTATAAATGCATATAACCATTATACACAAGGATAAATGCAAATACCCTCTGTAGTGAGCCTGGCTCAGCTCAGGGAGGAAGCCCTGTCAGAGTAAGCTGCAACCTGGGCTGTCACTCTATTCAGCCCCGCATCGCATCACATCTTCCGTCAATCATGGCCTGAGGGGGCGGGGATTTAAACGTTATCCAATCAGAGACGTTAAGCTGGGAACCGTCCAATGAGCCACGCAGTTGAAGCGGACAGGGCGGCTTCCGGGTTTGGCGGGGCCTTTGTCTCTCGCTGCAGCCGGAGGTGCGGGTCTCGTCTTCATTTCTGTGTCCTGTTCTTCTGGAAGCCCATCCTCTGTGGCCCCGTGACCAGCAGGTATTAGGAGATCACAGCGAAGATGCCGGAATCCCCTGGAAGCCTAGAAATGGTGAGAGTGCCGGGTCCGGTATCCGGAAAGAGGGGAAGGGCTGGTTGTAAGGGGTGGAAGTGGCTGTGGCAGGACTCGGGCCTCCCCACAGTCAGCTCCACAATCTGCGCCCCGAGTTCTCCTGGCCCAGCTCAGCCTCAGTTCCCTTCAGGCATAAGATGGCGGCTGCACTGACAGCCGGGCAGGGGCGTCCTGTCTCTTCCCTGTGCAGTAACTGTGCCCTGGCCTGGAGCGCTCTCTAGGCAGCTCTGCACCCCCAGCGCCGCGTCTCCCAGATTGTACAGGGACCACGGGAGGGTCGTCAGGGGAGAATCCTGACTTGGGGTGAGGATTCATGAATTGGAAGAGCTTTGGTTCGTGGGTTCCCAGTTCCTCTTTTCTCCTATTGAAAATGTACAGGCCGGCTGCGGCGCCTGACGTCTGTAATAGTAGCTCTTCGGGAGGCCAAGGTGGGCGGATCACCAAGTCAGGAGTTCAAGACCAGCGTTGCTAGCATAGTGAACCTCCGTCTTTACTAAAAATACAAAAATTAGCTGGGCGTGGTGGTGCACGCCCGTAGTCCCAGCTACTCGGGAGGCTGAGGCAGGAGAAATCAGTTGAACCTGGGAGGTAGAAGTTGCAGTGAGCTGAGATCTTGCCACTGCCCTCCAGCCTGGGTAACAGAGCAAGACTCTCGATTTAAAAAAAAAAAAAAAGTACAGAAGTTGCCACAAAAATATTAAAGAATATAATCAAAGAGTAATTCAAAAATTGTAGAGCATTCAGCTATGGTTTATAATTTGTGACTTATGGGCGGGGCTTGAAGGAAAGACTTTTATAAGGATCACGATGAAGAAAATGAAGTTCATTAATTAGGTAGTTATGTCGTTTCTTAATTTGTACAATAAAGGCGAAAATTTTATGGTTATGTAATCACTTTTTTTATGGTTATGCCACTTTTTTATGTTGTTGCTTCTGATATCATCACCTGAATGGATATTTATGGACTGCAGATTTGTTGTTATTTGTGTTTCTTTTACTTTGCTAAGTATATTTATCTTCCAGTATAATTATTCCGAAGAACTTTAAGAGATTTGTTTAAATTGCTTATTAGTATATGTTATAAAATTGACAGGGGAGTGGCAAAAATAGATTAAAGTTACATGAACTCTGAGATTTAAGTTTCTCTTAGGTAATGTTAGGAAAAACAGAACTGGAAATACCTTAGTGGCATAGAGAACAGAATTCTACATAGGGTCTTCTCCCCGCCCAAATTCGGTTCAGATTCACTCTTTTTGGAGGCCTCAGTTAGGTCTGACCCTACTCTAGAGACTTACCTCACAAAACTGATTTATAAAAAATCAGAGTTTTGGCTGGTTGTGGTGGTCACACCTGTAATCCCAGCACTTTGGCAGACCAAGGCAGGCCGATCACAAAGTTGGGAATTTGAGACCAGCCTGACCAACATGGTGAAATCCTATCTCTACTAAAAGTACAAAAATTAGCTAGGCATGGTGGCACATGCCTGTAATTCCAGCTACTCAGGAGGCTGAGGCAGGAGAATCACTTGAACCTGGGAGGTGGAGGTTGCAGTGAGCTGAAATTGTACCACTTTATTCCAGCCTGGGTGACAAAGTGAGACTCCAGCTCAAAAAAAAAAAAAAAAAAAAATTAGAGTTTTGTCTGGTGAATCCTGCTGCCTTTCTAGAGCTGGTGCTCACAATTTTCTGAAACCTGAAAACAGATAAATGAGAGAAATAAACTATATGTTTTAGGATCTTAATTTTTAAATTTTGTATTAAAACTGGTGCATCAATGTCAGAGAAACAGGAAGAAATGGAAGTGCCAGACCTTTTATCTACATCCTTGAACACTTAATATCAGCTTCCGGGGTGTTACTAGGATTAAATCACATAATGTGTTATTCCTAGCACAGTGCTCTGTAACATACTCTTGAGCACATAGTACCTGCTTAATAAACACTGCATTAGCACATATGTGTATGTTATTTTCCAAATGCAGACTTATTCAGACATTGCTGCCTTCTGTTTGTTCTACAAACTTTAAAGAGCCAGCAAAGAATATAAAACTTTAGGAGTTCAGCCGGGCGCGGTGGCTCAAGCCTGTAATCCCAGCACTTTGGGAGGCTGAGGCGGGTGGATCATGAGGTCAAGAGATCAAGACCATCCTGGTCAACGTGGTGAAACCCTGTCTCTACTAAAAATACAAAACATTAACTGGGCATGGTGGTGCGTGCCTGTAATCCCAGCTACTCAGGAGGCTGAGACAGGAGAGTTGCCTGAACCCAGGAGGCGGAGGTTGCGGTGAGCCGAGATCGCGCCATTGCACTCCAGCCTGGGTAACAAGAGCGAAACTCCATATAAAAAAAAAAAAAATTAAAAAAAATAAAACTTTAGGAGTTTGACAATAGATTGGTTGTCTTCATCTGTAACCACAAATATTTGTGTTGTGACAAGAGTGCTGAGTGTAAGGGACTCTGCTGTGCCTGCTTTCTTTATCTGATACTAATAATGAGCCTAGGGGAGCAACATCAGCATTGACAGGGAACTTGTTTGAAATAACCCATTTATGAGCCCTTTTCAAACTTGCAGATTCACATTACATACAGTGGGGCTAAAATTACCAAGTGATTTTTAAGCTCATTAAAGTGTGAAGAGACAATGTTTAGCTAATTGGTATTCAACCCAGTCTTGTTTTTTGTTTTGTTTTGTCTTTTATTTTTGCATGGAGTCTAACTCTGTCGCCCAGGCTGGAGTTCAGTGGCACCATCTCAGCTCACTGGAACCTCCGCCTCCTGGGTTCAAGTGATTCTTCTGCCTCAGCCTCCTGAGTAGCTGGGATTACAGGCACCTGCCACCACACCCAGCTAATTTTTGTATTTTTAGCAGAGATGGGTTTCACTGTGTTGGCCAGGCTGGTCTGGAACTCCTGATCTCATGATCTACCCACCTCGACCTCTCAAAATGCTGAGATTACAAACTGAGACACTGTGCCAGTGCCCAGCCTGTTTTTTTTTTTTTTTTTGAGACAGAATCTCATTCTGTTGCCCAGTCTGGAGTACAGTGGCATAATCTTGGCTCATTGTAACCTCCGCCTCCCAGGTTCAAGCCATTCTCCTGCCTCAGCCTCTCGAGTAGCTGGGACTACAGGTGCACGCTACCCTGCCCGGCTAATTTTTTGTATTTTAGTAGAGACAGGGTTTCAACTGTCTGATCCCAAACTCCTAAGGTCAGGCAGTCCTCCTGCCTCGGCCTTCCAAAGTGCTAGGATTATAGGTGTAAGCAACCACACCCGGCCAACTTTTGTATTTTTGGTAGAGCCAAGGTTTCACTGTGTTGGCCAGGCTGGTCTCGAACTCCTGACCTCAGGTGTTCCACACACTTCAGCCTCCCAAAGTGCCAGGATTATAGGTGTGAACAACCATGCCTGGCCTCAGCTCTAATTAGGATTACATGGCCAATTTGTGGAAATCTCTGTACTTGTGCCCTTTCCATGGATTCTATTTATTGTTCTGGGTGGAAGCATCCATGTTTGCTGTTGTTGTTTTTTGAGACAGAGTCTCTCTGTCGCCCAGGCTGGAGTGCAGTGGCACGAACTAGGCTCACTGCAACCTCCACCTCCTGGGCTTAAGTGATTCTTCTGCCTTAGCCTCTTGAGTAGCTAGAACTACAGGCATGAGGCACTACGCCTGGCTATTTTTTTAATTTTTTGTATTTTTTTTCTTTTTCTTTTTTTTTTTTTTCAGACGGAGTTTCGCTCTTGTTACCCAGGTTAGAGTGCAATGGCGCTATCTAGGCTCACTGCAACCTCTGCCTCCTGGGTTCAGGCAATTCTCCGGCCTCAGCCTCCTGAGTAGCTGGAATTACAGGCACACGCCACCATGCCCAGCTAATTTTTTGTATATTTAGTAGAGACAGGGTTTCATCATGTTGACCAGGATGGTCTCGATCTTTTGACCTCGTGATCCACCCACCTCGGCCTCCCAAAGTGCTGAGATTACAGGCTTGAGCCACCGCGCCCGGCCCCAATTTTTTGTATTTTTTTTTTTTTCTTTGAAACGGAGTTTCGCTCTTGTTACCCAGGCTGGAGTGCAATGGCGTGATCTCGGCTCAGCGCAACCTCCACCTCCTGGGCTCAGGCAATTCTCCTGCCTCAGCCTCCTGAGTAGCTGGGATTACAGGCACGCGCCACCACGCCCAGCTAGTTTTTTTTTGTATTTTTAGTAGAGACGGGGTTTCACCATGTTGACCAGGATGGTCTCGATCTCTCAACCTGGTGATCCACCCGCCTCGGCCTCCCAAAGTGCTGGGATTACAGGCTTGAGCCACCACGCCCGGCCTAATTTTTTGTATTTTTAATAGAGACAGGGTTTTACTGTGTTAGTCAGGATGGTCTGGATCTCCTGATCTTGTGAACCGCCTGCCTCAGCCTCTCAAAGTGCTGGGATTACAGGTGTGAGCCAGCATGCCCAGCCCCATGTATTAATGAAGTGCCTTGTGTGACTCTAAGGTGAGACAAGAATCAAGTATGAGGGCTTCAGTATACATTAATGAGAGCTAAGTGCCACCTTTGCATCAAAGAGTGGTCACAAGGCCTGTTCTGTTTGGGTTTGGTAGGATATATTCACAGAGCAGTTCGTTTTTCCTGAATCTCTTTCTGTTCTAAATAATAGAGATGGGTGGACTTTTTCTGCAGGTCTAGGTTCCTCTGTTTGTGTGTGCAGTGCTGGCAGAGAAACAGATGGTGCTGACATTTTTAAAGGAGTGTTCTCAAAACGCAGGTGTAACTTTCCAGATAATGTTATCTAAAAAGGATTTTCAGAAAAGGAAAAAGAAAAAATGGCTTTTTTTTTTTAGCTGAACATGTCTCAGATGAAGAAGAGCTGTGTTCACTCTGCCTCCTGGAGTGCCATGCCTTTAGTACTTGCAAAGCTTTACTTCTGTACTTGCGTTTTTCTTCCCTAATGTGTTTAACTACATTTAAAAATTCTTTTTTTTTCTTTTTATTTCATTTAATTTTTAATTTTTATTTTTGAGACAGAGTCTCGCTGTGTCGCCAGGCACCAGGCTGGAGTGCAGTGGCGCAATTTCGGCTCACTGAAATCTCCACCTCCCAGATTCAAGCAGTTCTCCTGCCTCAGCCTCCCCAGTAGCTGGGACTACAGGCGCGCGCCACAACGCCCAGCTAATTTTTATATTTTTTAGTTGAGACAGGGTTTCACCATGTTGGCCAGGATGGTCTTGATCTCCTGACCTTGTGATCTGCCTACTTCGGCCTCCAAAAGTGCTGGGATTACAGGCATGAGCCACCGCCCCCAGCACTTTTTTCTTTTTAGATGGAGTTTCACTCTTGTTGCCCAGGCTGGCTTGCAATGGCACGATCTTGGCTCACCACAACCTCAGCCTCCGGGGTTCAAGTGATTGTCCTGCCTCAGCCTTCTGAGTAGCTAGGATTACAGGAATGTGTCACCATGACCAGCTAATTTTGTATTTTTTTTTCATAGAGATGGGTTTTCTCCACGTTGGTCAGGCTGGTCTCAAACTCCCGACCTCAGGTGATCCGCCCGCCTTGGCCTCCCATAGTGCTGGGATTACAGGTGTGAGAGCCACTGCACCCAGCCTGAAATTCTTTCAAGGCTCTCTGCAAAATATTTGTTTACTATATTTCAGAGCTGTCTCTAGATTGCCTACATCATGGCTTCTTATATGCCATGCAGAATTTCTACCATAAATTTGTAATCTGCACTATTAAAAAAGTTCCCTTTGTGAATGTTAAACATGGGAAGATGTGGATACTTAAGATTCCTGTTGGGGGAAAGCTGGGGTCTTTGGTAAAGATGGAGAACATGTGATGTTGAGATTTCATCTGTGTTCTCCATTAACTCTATGCAGAACAGAATTAAGAAAGTGCCTATTTAAACAGGATAGCATTTATTACCCAGAAAGTTCTGAAAAAACAAAAAAATTATTAGGAGAACCTGCTCTCTATGGTGCTAAAGAAAGACTGCCTAAAATCACCATTAAAAATAACAGAACGGGGGAGATATCTGTATCTTGAATTTTGCATAAAACTGATGAATCTTTATGGTTAAATTCAGACTATAATTTACTTTTTGAGGGGCAGTATCTCAGCAGTGATGCCATGTTCTTATGTACATCAGCACCTACTAAAAATTTGTTCTAGTATAATTGATGTTAATACTTTACTTGGTTGCAGAGCTCTCTGACAGATCTTTTTTCACTAGAGTTAATTATTTTTCTTTTCACTATTAAGTAATTTTATGCATCTAATGTGCTTAAACCATTATATTTAATGTGGCACCTGCCCTTTTTTCTTAGGTTTTCTCTGCATGTATCTGTCTTTGGAAAATGAAGGCTCTTATCTTTGTTTACAGGCCAGAAAAAAATTGGTAAAACATAGGCTCTTCCATTTACTGGGTGTTTGACAAAATAGTTTTCGTAGGCCAAAAACACTGGGGTTACTAATAAGCTTGTTAGAAATTTAAAAATTCAGACTTTATTCTGGATATTCTGAACAAAAGAAATCTGTACAACAGGATCACCAGTTTCTTGTTCACATTTAAAGTTGAGAGGTACCTTCTAACTCAACTGTCTATTTTTGTCTGAAAAATATACACAACTCAAAATTTATGATGTAAATATAGCCCTCAAAAGTGTACATATTTTTGTTTATGCCCTTAATTTTATACTTTATCATCCAGAGAAGTATCATATATACACCAGGGTTGTGGATTTTTCTGCCATCCTCTTCTCTCAGAGTTAGAGAAAACATTAGATAGTATTTCTGTGTTAAAAATTATTGGATAACTTCAATGATTTCTATAAGTCAGAACCAATTCTCTTTACTTTCTCATCTCACTTTAATTCAAATAATAAATTCTGCCCATGGCTACTTGGTAAATATATGTGTCTGTGTGCTTGTGTTTTTCAGGGTCCATTGACATTTAGAGATGTGGCCATCGAATTCTCTCTGGAGGAGTGGCAGTGCCTGGACACTGCTCAGCAGGATTTGTATAGAAAAGTGATGTTAGAGAACTACACAAACCTGGCCTTCTTGGGTGAGAATAACTTTAATACACGATTCCTAATAATACCCTAAGCATTTCATTTCTCTTTTTTTGTAGAATAATTTTTGGTAATTTATGCTTTGTGTAAATGAGTTTCTGATTCCTGTTTTTACGAAAATGCTAGCCGGGCATGGTGGCTCAAGCCTTTAATCCCAGCACTTTGGGAGGCTGAGGCAGGTGTATCACGAGGTCAAGAGATCGAGACCATCCTGGTCAACATGGTGAAACCCTGTCTCTACTAAAAATACAGAACATTAGCTGGGCATGGTGGCATGTGCCTGTAATCCCAGCTACTCAGGAGGCTGAGGCAGGAGAATTGCCTGAACCCAGGAGGCGGAGGTTGCAGTCAGCCGAGATCACACCATTGCACTCCAGCCTGGGTAACAAGAGCGAAACTCCGTCTCAGATAAATAAATAAATAAATAAATAAATAAATAAAAGAAAAATAAAAAAAAAAAAGAGAAAATCCTGAGGATTTATCCATGTAGAAAAGAATTTTTTCAAAATGTTTTATCTTGACGTTGCACATTCCTGGGCTGATCTGTATCCTTCACTCTAGATTAGTGGTAATTCCAGAAATTTAGTGGCATAAAATATTGTTTCCCATATCTTTTTTTTTTTTTTTTTTAGATACAGAATTTTGCTCCGTCTCCAGGCTGGAGTGCAGTAGTGCAATCTCGGCTCACTGCAACTTCTGCCTCCTGAGTTCAACTGATCCTGCCTCAGCCTCCCAAGTAGCTGAGAGTACAGCTGCATGCCACCACGCCCAACTAATTTTTTTTTTTTTTGAGATGGAGTCTTTTTCTGTCACCCAGGTTGGAGAGCAATGGCACAATCTCAGCTCAGTGCAGCCTCGGCCTACTGGGTTCAAGCAGTTTTCAGCCTCAGCCTTCCAAGTAGCTGGGATTACAGGCACCCAACACCAAGCCCGGCTAATTTTTGTATTTTTAGTAGAGAAGGGATTTCACCATGCTGGCCAAGCTGGTCTTGAACTCCAGACCTTAAGTGATCCACCTGCCTCGGCCTCCCAAAATGTTGGGATTACAGGCATGCGCCTGAACACCTGGCCATCCATTTCTTAAAACCTATTTACCATCACCAATTTTTGAAATTGGTATTTAAGTGAAATATTTAAATGAAGTTAAGAACCTACAAATTTAAAATATTTTCTAAATACTTAGAAATTTTTGTCATAAATTTGTATTTTAGGACTAATTTTCTAGAGTATTCTACATCCTCTTTAGTAAGCACAGTACTGGGTTGGTAACTGAAGAATGTGAGAAAGATTCATGGTTATTTTTAATAAAGCAGGTATTGCTGCTTCTAAGCCAGACCTGATCACCTGTCTGGAGCAAGGAAAAGAGCCCTGGAATATGAAAAGACATGAGATGGTGGATGAACCCCCAGGTAGGTGACAGTGAGTACAACAGACAACAGCAAAAAGAAAGCCAATGCTAAAAATGTGACTTGGGAAGCTGTGTTGCAAAGCAAGTATTTTCTGGAAAGCTTGAGTTTTTTAAATTTTACTCTCACATAGGGGCATCTTCTGTCTGTGCTTTTAAATTCTTTAAGGATTTGACTTTGCCTTTAGAGATCTCCCTTCGAGTTTACCGTCAGAACCAAAGGCCTCTTCATGGCATACGAGACTGCACGGTCTGGCTGCTTTTCCATTGTTTTGGGGAACACACAAATATCTGCATGATTTTGAGAAACTCTATGTTAAACTTTTTCTTTCTTCTTCTTTTTTTTTTTTCTTTCTTTGAGACTGAATTTTGCTTTTGTTGCCCAGGCTGGAGTGCAATGGCTCAATTTCAGCTCACTACAACCTCTGCCTCCCAGGTTCAAGCAATTCTCCTGCCTCAGCCTCCCAAATAGCTGGGATTACAGGCACCCACCACCACGCCCAGCTAATGTTTTGTATTTTAATAGAGACAGGGTTTCACCACGTTTCTTGGCCAGGCTGGTCTCGAACTTAGGACCACAAGTGATCTCCCTGCCTTGGCCTCCCAAAGTTCTGGGATTACACGTGTGAACCACCGTGCCCAGACAAACTATTTTATTAGTTCTCTTTTTGCATCATGTCTGAAATATGCAAGGATGGTAGTTTCTGTTCCATTGTTTGTTGTTGTTGTTGCTATTTTTCTGCACATTCCATGCTGCTTTTATTAATATGTTTTTAAAATATAGTTTCAAATTATAAAGTATGATGTCCCTCTTCTTTGCTCTTTTTCCTCAAGATTGCTTTGGTTATTTGAAGTTTATTATTTCTTGTAAATTTTAGAATTGTATATTCCATTACTGTGAAGAAAAATGCCACTGAAATTTTAAAAGGGAATTTAGCGACTCTATAGATTACTTTAGGTAATAGGGCACTTTAAGAATATTTATGTTTTCAATTCATAGACATGAATTTTTTTTTTTTTTTTTTTTTTTTTTTTTTTGAGACAGTTTCACTCTTGTTACCCAGGCTGGAATGCAATGGCACGATCTCGGCTCACCGCAACCTCTACCTCCTGGGTTCAGGCAATCCTCCTGCCTCAGCCTCCCGAGTAGCTGGGATTACAGGCACACGCCACCATGCCCAGCTAATGTTTTGTATTTTTAGTAGAGACGGGGTTTCACCATGTTGACCAGGGTGGTCTCGATCTCTTGACCTCGTGATCCACCCGCCTCGGCCTCCCAAAGTGCTGGGATTACAGGCTTGAGCCACCGTGCCCGGCCTATTTGTGTCTTTTCTAATTTCTTTTATTGATAACTACATCTTTCATTGTAAAGATTTCTATATTCCATGCAAATAGTAACCACAATTGGGTGAGGTGGTCGTAATTATATTGGATATAATATCCTTTAAGTCAAGTACTAACATGAGACAAACACTGATGTTATATAAATGCCAAGTAGGTCAAGAATCTATACCTATCATAACTACCTATTTATGTTTATATGTATATGTATATACAACATCAGGACTCCAAAATATTTTGGTTTTCAACATAATGGACTCAAGTTAGCATTTCTCTTTGTTTATATGCAGAGTCTGTGTTTCTCAGGCTGTTCTTGAATTCCTGGTCTCAAGAGATCTGACTGCCTTGGCTTCCTAAAGCTATAGAATTACAGGCATGAGCCACTGTGTCAGGCTACCACATAACATTTCTTGTAGGACTGTGCTAGTTGTAATGAACACCCTGAAATTTGATTTAGGAAATTCTTTTTTTTTTTTTTTGAGACAGAGTTCCGCTCTTTTTGCCCAGGCTGGAGTGCAATGGCGCGTTCACAGCTCACCGCAACCTCCGCCTCCTGGGTTCAGGCAATTCTCCTGCCTCAGCCTCCTGAGTAGCTGGGATTACAGGCACGTGCCACCATGCCCAGCTAATATTTTGTATTTTTAGTAGAGACGGGGTTTCACCATGTTGACCAGGATGGTCTCGATCTCTTGACCTCGTGATCCACCCTCCTCGGCCTCCCAAAGTGCTGGAATTACAGGCTTGAGCCACCGCGCCCGGCCAGGAAATTCTTTATTTTTATTTTGTTTTCAAAGTAAAATAATTTTGAATTAAGTATTATGGTAGACTTTTTTTTGTTGTTACATCAAAATTTGGGAAGTTCTCAGCTTTCTTTTTCTTTAATTTACCTCTGTATTACTTTTTCCCTGTATTCTTCTTCTAAGTTTTATTTCATGAATATATTAATCTACGTGATGTTGCCCAATAATTTTGAAATTCCATATTTTTCTTTTGTTTTGCAATTTTATATTTTTGTGTTATATATTTTAGGGCAGGCGTCCCCAAACTTTTTACACAGGGGGCCAGTTCACTGTCCCTCAGACCATTGGAGGCCCGCCACATACTGTGCTCCTCTCACTGACCACCAATGAAAGAGGTGCCCCTTCCTGAAGGGCGGCGGGGGTGGAGGGGGCGGATAGATGGCCTCAGGGGGCCGCATGTGGCCCGCGGGCCGCAGTTTGGGGACACCTGTTTTAGGGTGTGCCAGCTTACACCAGTTAACTGTGTTTTAATGTTTTAGTTTATATTATAATTGTGTATGACAATGTTTAACTGTACAATTTAAGACAGTTTGGAGCAAAATCAAATATAAATCAGCCATATGTCTATTGCCAATATAAGTATTTCCGTGTTTGTTTGCCTGTATAAATATTATCCCTGTGTTTTTTATGACTTGTATATTTGTTGTGTAGGTTTGTTGTGAATGGTTGTTCAATATTCTCTAGGTGAGCAGTCATAAACATTCTCCTAATTTCAGTATCTATTGTGAATCTATATTTTTGTGTGGGAGAAATGTTTACAGATTTGAAGATTGTATAAAAACTATCAGCCGGGTGCGGTGGCTCAAGCCTGTAATCCCAGCACTTTGGGAGGCTGAGGCGGGTGGATCACGAGGTCAAGAGATCGAGACCATCCTGGTCAACATGGTGAAACCCTGTCTCTACTAAAAATACAAAACATTAGCTGGGCATGGTGGTGCATGCCTGTAATCCCAACTACTCAGGAGGCTGAGGCAGGAGAATTCCCTGAACCCAGGAGGCGGAGGTTGCAGTGAGCCGAGATCGTGCCATTGCACTCCGGCCTGGGTAACAAAAGCGAAACTCCGTCTCAAAAAAAAAAAAAAAAAAAAAAAGACTATCATAATTTTGTATCTTTTTAAAAATATTACTGTTTCTTTTTACTTGTCAGAACCACATAACAAAATATATTGCCAACCATTTAAAAATAATGCTGTTTAGGCTGGGTGCAGTGGCTCATGCCTGTAATCCAGCACTTTGGGAGGCTGAGATTGGCAGATTGCCTGAGGTCAGTAGTTTGAGACCAGCCTAGCTAACATGGTGAAAACCCTTCTCTCCTAAAAATACAAAAATTAGCCAGGCATTGTGGTGGTCACCTGTAGTTCCAGCTACTCAGGAGGACGGAGGCAGGAGAATCACTTGAACCTGGGAGGTGGAGGTTGCACTGAGCCAAGATCATACCACTGTACTCAGCCTGGGCAACAGAGTAAGACTCTGTCTCTGAAAAAAATAAAATATGCTGTTTAGACATATTAACTATATGGCAGTGTTATGCAACATATCCCTAGAATGTTTTTATCTTGCAAAGCTAAATCTCAATACACATTAAACAAGAACTAATTTTTCTGATTTTCTGGCACTTTGCAAATACCACTCTGTTTTCTTTTTCTAAGAGTGTAACTGCCTCATATATCTCATACAATCTCTTTCTGTGGCTGGCTCATTTTGTTTTGTGTAATGTCATCAAGCTTTAGCTTTATGGTGGTTAGAATTATTTTTGGCTTTTTAAGTCCTGGGTGATATTCCACTATTTTTATATTTTAAAATGTATCTACTGAATAATTTGGTGACAGGAAATTGCATTGCTCTTACCTATTGGCTTTCAGTAACAATGCTGCAATAATTATGGGTATGCCAATAACTCTTCATATGACCATATATGTCAAAGTTTATATATGTCTCGCATTCTATTTTTTTGACCATTATACTCATACCAAATTGTTTTTATTCTGTAACTTTGTAATGTATTTTGAAATCAGAAACTGTACTGATAACATGCTTCCTTTTTTTTTTTTTTTTAAGAAGACTTTGGGTACTTTATCGTCTTTGGGGATTTCATATACTTTGGAGGTTTGCTGTTTCTATTTCATCACAAATTGCATTAAATTTCTAGATTACATTGAGCAGTATGGACATTGTCAAAATATTAATTATGTCAACCTTTGAACAGGAACATGTTGGAGTGTGTTGTTTAATTTTTATATAGTTGTAATTTTTTCAGTTTTTGTCTATTGTTTTATACACATTTCATTTTGATCATAGAATGTAATTCATGTAAATTTTCAGTTTTAAAAAATTTGTTAAGACTTCTTTTTTTGGCCAGGCACAGTGACTCATGCCTATAATCCCAGCACTATGGGAGGCCGAGGTGGGTGGATCATGAGGTCAAGAGATTGAGAACATCCTGGCCAACATGGTGAAACCCTGTTTTAACTAAAAATACAAAAATTAGCTGGGCATGGTGGTGCATACCTGTAGCCCCAGCTACTCAGGAGGCTGAGGCAGAAAAGTCGCTTGAACCTGGGAGGCAGAGGTTGCAGTGAGCTGAGATACATAAACTCTGAAACAGAAAGACTTACTGTTTTATTTGATTCTTGTATCTTTGTCTCTCATTTTCTTTCTTAATTTGTGTATTTTTTATTTCTATGTTGATATGCTTTTACTTCTTTCTTATTTTGTTTTGTGTATCTACACAAATATATTCTTTGTGCTACCTTGGGGATTACATAAAACCTCTAAAAGATACAACATACTTCAGTCTGGTATGAAAAAAAAAAAAAAACTTAGTTGCATACAGAAATTTTTTCTCATTACAGCTGCCCCCAAATTTGTCACTGATGGTTCAGATTATATCTTTTTATGTTGTATATTCATTAACATGTTTATAATAATTTCTGTTTTTAACTTTCAAATTTTAGAGAATAATTTTAAAATGTTTTTTGCACCATTATAATAATGCTTTTAAAAAACTCAATTTTTTGTGTTTCTGCATATCTTTGACAGAAAATAAATGTATTTTTATATGATTATGTGTTGCTTTGTTGAATAATTTTATTTTCAGTGGAAACAACTGCTTTTAGCACCTTTTTTGGCACTATGTATGGAGTGCCAATATACTTCTTCAGAATTTGGTTATTTTTGAAGTTTTTTGTTTGTTTTTGTTTTTTGTTTTTTGCTTTTTAATTTAGCAGGACATCTTTGCTGATGGTGTTATACTCACTTGCAAACATTTTTTTTTTTTTTTTTCCAGGACTTTGACTATATCAGACAGTACCCTTGTGGCCTGCAAAAGTTTTGTTGATAATTCACTGGCTATCTCATAAGACTATGCTTGCAAATGATGCATCACTTTTATGTTGCAGTTTCCAAGATTCTCTTTTTTGCTGTGACTTTTGAAATTGTGCTTATATATGTGTTTGTTATAAATATCTTTGTGTGTATCCTAGTTTGTTTTTTTTTTTTTGAGACGGAGTTTTTTTGCTCTTGTTACCCAGGCTGGAGTGCAATGGCGCGATCTCGACTCACCGCAACCTCCGCCTCCTGGGTTCAGGCAATTCTCCTGCCTCAGCCTCCTGAGTAGCTGGGATTACAGGCATGCGCCACCATGCCCAGCTAGTTTTTTGTGTTTTCAGTGGAGACGGGGTTTCACCATGTTGACCAGGATGGTCTCGATCTCTTGACCTCGTGATCCACCCGCCTCGGCCTCCCAAAGTGCTGGGATTACAGGCTTGAGCCACCGCGCCCGGCTAGTTTGTTTTTTGAGCCTTTTTTTTTTTTTTTTTTTTGAGGTGGCATCTCACTCTTGTTGCCCAGGCTGGAGTGGAGTAGCACGATCTCGGCTCACTGCAGCCTCTACCTCCTGGGTTCAAGCAATTCTCCTGCCACAGCCTCCCGCATAGCTGGGACTACAGGCCTGTGCCACCATGCCCAGCTAATTTTTGTATTTTTAGTAGACACGGAGTTTCATCATGTTGGCCAGGATGATCTTGATCTCCTGACCTCATGATCTGCCCACCTAGGCCTCCCATAGTGCTGGGATTACAGGCATGAGCCACTGCACCTTGCTGAGCTTTTTGTTTTTATGTCATTTTTTTCTTTCAGGATATCTCGGTTATTCTTTTTGACATTTTTTACTTTCATAATTTTTGTGGTTTTTTATATTTTACATATTTTGTTCTTATCATTTTTCTGATTTTCTGTAGTTCTCTGTTTCTATTTTACTGTTATCCCAATTATTTTCAGTTTTGGGTTTTTTTTTTTTATTTTGTAGAGAGGGGGTTTCACCATGTTGGCCAGGATGGTCTCGATCTCTTGAACTCATGATCTGCCCGCCTCGGCCTCCCAAAGTGCTGGGATTACATGCGTGAGCCACCGCGTCTAGCCCTATTTTCAATTTTTAAATTAATATATATATTTTTATGGTTTTAAATAATATTTTTGATAAAACTATATTGCTCTGTTTTGTATACATTATAATCTATGATTGACATTTGAACATTAAAAAATGCTACCTGTCACAATCTTTATAATGTAGCTTTGTTATGGCATAGTCTGAGCAATTGTCTTGGTTAGAGATTCTGGGAGTCTCTCAGGCATGTCCCTAGAATGTGTCTTGTCTACAATTTTGTGCTTATTTTTTTAAAGGAGTTTGTGTTTCTTTTCTTTCTTTTTTTTTTGAGACAGAGTCTCGCTCTGTCTCCCATACTGGAGTGCAATGGCCCAATCTTGGTTCACTGCAACCTCCGCCTCCTGGGTTCAAGCAGTTCTCTCGCCTCAATCTCCCGAGTAGCTGGGAATACAGGTGCAGGCCACCACACCTGGCTAATTTTTTGAAAATATATATATTAGTAGAGATAGGGTTTCGCCATGTTGACCAGGCTGATCTCAAACTCGTGACTTCAGGTGATCCACCAGCCTTGGCCTCCCTAAGAGCTGGGATTACAGGTGTGAACCACCTCATCTAGCCTCCTTGTGTTTCTTCTTTTTTTTTTTTTTTTTTTTTTTTTTGAGACGGAGTTTCGCTCTTGTTACCCAGGCTGGAGTGCAATGGCACGATCTCGGCTCACCGCAACCTCCGCCTCCTGGGTTCAGGCAATTCTCCTGCCTCAGCCTCCTGAGTAGCTGGGATTACAGGCACGCGCCACCACGCCCAGCTAATTTTTGTATTTTTAGTAGAGACGGGGTTTCACCATGTTGACCAGGATGGTCTCGATCTCTTGACCTCGTGATCCACCCGCCTCGGCCTCCCAAAGTGCTGGGATTACAGGCTTGAGCCACCGCACCCGGCCATTCTTCTTTTTTTTTTTTTTTTTTTTTTGAGACGGAGTTTCCCTCTTGTTACCCAGGCTGGAGTGCAATGGCGTGATCTCGGCTCACCGCAACCTCCGCCTCCTGGGTTCAGGCAATTCTCCTGCCTCAGCCTCCTGAGTAGCTGGGATTATAGGCATGCGCCACCATGCCCAGATAATTTTTTGTATTTTTAGTAGAGACGGGGTTTCACCATGTTGACCAGGATGGTCTCGATCTCTTGACCTCGTGATCCACCCGCCTCGGCCTCCCAAAGTGCTGGGATTACAGGCTTGAGCCACCGCGCCCGGCTTTTGTTATGTTTTTGTTACATTTACTTGTCTATGGAAAATAGGGCCTTTGGTATTTTGCTGTGCCATCTTGTATAGGTAGTTTGTATAATTTTCTGGGTTAGATTTGTAAAGCATATTCGTCTGAGTCTAGTAAATGGAGTAATTTGTTATTTTTATTTCTTTCAGTTATATATTCTCATTTTGCCCAAGACCTTTGGCCAATGCAGGGCATAAAAGATTCTTTCCAAGAAGTCATATTGAGAAGATACGGGAAATGTGGACATGAAGATTTACAGTTAACTACAGACTGTAAAAGTGTGGATGAGTGTAATCTGTACAAAGAAGGTTATAATGAACTAAACCAGTGTTTGACGACTACCCAGAGTGAAATATTTCAGTGTGATCAATATGTGAACATCTTTTACACATTTTCAAATTCAAATATACATGAGATAAGATATACTGGAAAGAAACCTTTCAAATGTAAAAAATGTGACAGATCATTTTGTATGCTTTTACATCTAACTCAACATAAAAGAACTCATATTAGGGAGAATTCTTACCAATGTGAAGAATGTGGTAAAGTCTTTAACTGGTTCTCAACCCTTACTAGACACAGGAGAATTCACACTGGAGAGAAGCCCTACAAATGTGAAGAATGTGGCAAAGCTTTTAAGCAGTCTTCAACCCTTACTGCACATAAGATAATTCATACTGGAGAGAAACCTTACAGATGTGAAGAATGTGGCAAAGCCTTTAACCGGTCCTCACACCTTACTACACATAAAAGAATCCATACTGGAGAGAAACCCTACAGATGTGAGGAATGTGGCAGAGCTTTTAACCGGTCCTCACATCTTACTACACATAAGATTATTCATACTGGAGAGAAACCCTACAAATGTGAGGAATGTGGCAAAGCTTTTAACCAATCGTCAACCCTTACTACACATAAGATAATTCATGCAGGAGAGAAACCCTACAAATGTGAAGAATGTGGCAAAGCTTTTTACCGATTCTCATACCTTACTAAACATAAGATAATTCATACTGGAGAGAAATTCTACAAATGTGAAGAATGTGGCAAAGGCTTTAATTGGTCCTCGACCCTTACTAAACATAGAAGAATTCATACTGGAGAGAAACCATACAAATGTGAAGAATGTGGCAAAGCTTTTAATGAATCCTCAAACCTTACTGCACATAAGATAATTCATACTGGAGAGAAACCGTACAAATGTGAAGAATGTGGCAAAGCCTTTAACCGGTCTCCAAAACTTAATGCACATAAAGTAATTCATACTGGAGAGAAACCCTACAAATGTGAAGAATGTGGCAAAGCTTTTAACCAAATCTCAAACCTTACTAAACATAAGATAACTCATAGTGGGGATACATCTTACAAATACAAAGAATGTGATAAAGCCTTTAACCCATCCTCAACTCTTACTAAACATGAGGTAATTCATACAGGAGAGAAACCTTACAACTGTGAAGAATGCAGCAAAGCTTTCAACCAGTCCTCAAACTTTATTGAGCAAAGTAACTCATACTGGAGGGAAACCCTACAAATGTGAAGACTGTGGCAAAGCCTTTAACCAGTCCTCAACTCTTACTAAACATAAGAAATTAATACTGAAGAGGAACTATATGAGTGTGAATAATATGGCAATGCTTTCAACAAGTCCTCAATTTTTAACAGACATAATTTATACTGCAAAAAAAAAAAAAACAAAAAACAAAAAAAAAAACTACAAACCAGAAAGATGGACAATGCTTTTGAAAACACCTCGAACTTTTTCATTTTTTTTGAGACGGAGTCTCACACTGTTGACCAGGGTGCAGTGGAATGGCGCGATCATGGCTTAGTGCAACCTCTGCCTCCTGGGTTCAAGCGATTCTTCCGCCTTTGCATCCGGAGTAGCTGGGACTGCAGGCACTTACCACCATGCACAGCTAATTTCTGTATTTTTAGTAAAGACGAGGTTTCAGTATGTTGGCCAGGATGGTCTCGATCTCTTGACCTCGTGATCCACATGCCTCGGCCTCCCAAAGTGCTGGTATTACAGGCGTGAGGCACCATGCCCGGCCTAAAACTTTCTTAAACATTAAATATTAGAAAAGGAAAGAACGTGACAGAGCCTTTAAATGGTTGTCACACTTGATTGTAGGCAAGATAATTCATACTGAAGAAAACTTCTACAAGTGTGAACAATGTGGCAAAACTTTCAGTGAATGCTCACACCTTATTGCACTGGAAAGCATTTATTAAGAAAAATTGTATAAATATAAAGACTGTGCAAAAGCCATTAATATCTGTTCACATCTTACTCAACACTAGAGAGTTCATACTTAATAAAAGGAATATAAGTGCAATTACTGTCCAAAGATCTTTCAGAAAATATAAACCTTTCAAATGAAGAAGAATATTTATTTTGACGATGAACATTCAGATGTAAAAAGGATTGTAGTACCTTTATTTGTATCACAGGTCTTATTGTACACATTTCTTACTAGAAGAAAACTCTGAAGTAGTTGCTCAAACTTTGTTCAGCATCAGAAAATTTATATTGAAGAAAAACCTTGCAAATTTAATAAATTTCAAGACACTTTTTCAAAAATACAGCTTAGAAGACTCCAGAGATTTTATACTAAAATATATTTTTGCACATGTAGTAAATATGAAAAAAATATTTAATTCAAAATTAAGGCTATGTGAATATCAGAGAATTTACAGTAGAAATATATAAGACACTGACACCCCAGATATACTAAATCAGAGTGCTGGGTATGAAAAAATTAAAGTTGGTGAGAAAATTGTTTGTATATAACTTTAAAAGGAGTAGATTTTTTAGAGAGTTTTTACATTCAAAGTATACTTTATTTCTTAAAAAAATTACAGATTTTTAAAAAGTAAATAATGATGTCATTCAACTCTCAAATTATTTCCTGCTGTTTCTTCATTCCTGTTGTATTCACTTGTGAAAGCACGTGATCAGTTATTGCTGCACTAAAGACATGAGATTCTTTTTTATTAGGTGGGCATTATTTATGGTCTTTTCTATGAAACAGTGAGGAAATTAAAATGTAAGATGCATGACAAAAATACAAGTGAAGAGACTTCGTGGTTAACTTAATATTGAGTGATGCATTAGGTCGGTGTTCAGAGTAATAGTCTTTTGCATTATGAGAAGAAAACATTTTTAATTTTATTTAAAATTAAATGAAAATAGTATGTTATTGTACTAGTTGTGCTTTTGTATAATAAAATGCAGTATGTTTAAAAAATAATAGATTTGTGTGAAGTTAATATTTTAATCCAACATTTTTAAAATGCTAAATACTATTGGCTGGGCATGGTGACCCACGCCTGTAATCCCAGCACTTTGGGAGGCTGAGGCGAGTGGATCATGAGGTCAGGAGTTCGAGATCAGCCTGGCCAACATGATGAAAGCCTGTCTCTACTAAAAGTACGAAAAATTAGCCGGTATGGTGGAAGGCACCTGTAATCCCAGCTATTCGGGAGGCTGAGGTAGGAGAGTTGCTTAAACCTGGGAGGCGTACGTTGCAGTGAGCTGAAACTGCACCACTGCACTCCAGCCTGAACAACAGAGCAAGACTGTCTCAAAAAATAAATAAATATATGCTATTGTACATTCAATGAGGTGTTACTGTGTCACAAACTTTAACCTATTCTACTTAAGGGTATAGATAAGAGAGGGTAACAATATACTATTTGGCAACATAGTGGATTAACATCTGAAGTCATCTCTTATCAGTGGGTTTAAACTGCAAATTAATATTGTTTATGTTAAATTTTTCTTTTTTTTACCAATTTGAGTTTATTTTAAAAATTTTTTGTGGGTACATGAGTATGCCATATATGGCATATTTTAATACAGGAGTACAATATATAATCGCATCAAGGTAAATGAAGTATCCATCACCTGTAGCATTTGTCCTTTGTATTACAAACAATCCAATTCCACACTTTTAATGTACATTTGACATTGATTACAGAGTTATTTTTATGGTCATAATAAAAATTACATGCAAGTATACATAAGATGAATACATTTCCGAATCCTGAATAAATAGTACTAAAATTGGCTCGCTCCGCTCCGCTCCCTGCCTCTGCACCGCCGAGTCTGCCGCCACCGCCTTGGAGCAGAAGACGGCCGTGCCACCTGCGTATGCCGATCTTGGCAAATCTGCCAGGGATGTCTTCACCAAGGGCTATGGATTTGGCTTAATCAAGCTTGATTTGAAAACAAAATCTGATAATGGATTCGAATTTACAAGCTCAGGCTCAGCCAACACTGAGACCACCAAAGTGAAGGGCAGTCTGGAAACCAAGCACAGATGCACTGGGGTACGGCCTGACGTTTACAGAAGAAATGAAACACCGACAGTACACCAGGCACCAAGATTACCGTGGAAGATCAGCTTGCACGTGGCCTGAAGCCGACTTTCGATTCATTCTTCTCACCTAACACTGGGGAAAAAAAATTGCTAAAATCGGCTGGGCATGGTGGCTCAAGCCTGTAATCCCAGCACTTTGGGAGGCCGAGGCGGGTGGATCACGAGGTCAAGAGATCGAGACCATCCTGGTCAACATGGTGAAACCCCGTCTCTAATAAAAATACAAAAAAAGTAGCTGGGCATGGTGGTGCGTGCCTGTAATCCCAGCTACTCAGGAGGCTGAGGCAGGAGAATTGCCTGAACCCAGGAGGCGGAGGTTGCAGTGAGCCGAGATCGCGCCATTGCACTCCAGCCTGGGTGACAAGAGCGAAACTCCGTCTCAAAAAAAAGAAAAAGAAAAAAAAATTGCTAAAATCAAGACAGGGTACAAGCGGGAGCACATTAACCTGGGCTGCGATGTGGATTTCCACATTGCTGGGCCTTCCATCGGGGGTTCTCTGGTGCTGGATTATGAGGGCTGGCTGGCCGGCTACCAGATGAACTTTGAGACTGCAAAGCCCCAAGTGACCCAGAGCAACTTTGCAGTTGGCTACAAGACTGATGAATTCCAGCTACATACTAATGTGAATGACGGGACAGAGTTTGGCGGCTCCATTTACCAGAAGGTGAACAAGAAGCTGGAGACCGCTGTCAATCTGGACAGGAGGAAACAGTAAGGCGCTTCCGAATAGCAGCCAACTATGAGATTGACCCTCAGGCCAGCTTCTCGGCTAAAGTGAACAACTCCAGCCTGATAGGTTTAGGATACACTCAGACTCTAAAGCCAGGTATCAAACTGACACTGTGAGCTCTTCCGGATGGCAAGAACGTCAATGCTGGTGGCCACAAGCCTGGTCTAGAACTGGAATTTCAAGCATAAATGAATACTGTACAATTGTTTAATTTTAAACTATTTTGCAGCATAACTACCTTCAGAATTTAGTGTATCTTTTAATATTGTATGTCTGGGATGCAAGTATTGCTAAATATGTTAGACCTCTGGGTTAAAGATGATTCAGCTTTAAGATGTTACCCTTAGGCCGGGCGCGGTGGCTCACTCCTGTAATCCCAGCACTTTGAGAGGCCGAGGCGGGTGGATCTCGAGGTTGAGAGATCGAGACCATCCTGGTGAACATGGTGAAACCCCATATCTACTAAAAATACAAAACATTAGCTGGGCATGGTGGCACATGCCTGTAATCCCAGCTACTCAGGAGGCTGAGGCAGGAGAATTGCCTGAACCCAGGAGGCGGAGGTTGCGGTGAGATCGCGCCATTGCACACCAGCCTGGGTAACAAGAGTGAAACTCCGCCTCAAAAAAAAAAACCAATAATAATAATAATTAATTAATTAATTAATTTTAAAGACGGGGTTTCACCATGTTGGTCAGGCTGGTCTTGAACTCCCGACCTCAAGTGATCCGCCCGCCTTGGCCTCCAAAGTGCTTGGATTACAGGCGTGTGCCACCGCGCCCGGCCCAAATGTGAGAATTTTTTAAAACAAAATTATTAGAGGCCATCATTGCAGACGCCAGTCTCGAAACCCGTAGGCTCACCTAAGCTTCTGCGCTGCTGCTTAAAAACTGGGGACTCCCAGGGCGAGCGCGGGGTGTCACGTGCTGCGAACCGTCCAATCAGGCGCGCGGCTGCCGGGACTGGGCGCGGCCTTTGTCTCCCGCCGCGGCCGGAGCGCCGAGTCGGGGTCTTACTCGTCTGTGTCCTCCGCTCCTGGGGGCACAGCCTCGCGGCCCCGTGACCTGCAGGCCTTGGGAGATCCGCAGCTGAGACGCCGGGACCCCCTGGACGCCTAGACATGGTGAGAGCGCCGGTCCGACTTCCCGAGGGGTGCTGGTTGGAACCGGCGGGAAGTGGCCGTGGCGGACTCAGGCCTCCCCGCGGTCAGCTCCACAACCTGCGCCCCGAGCTCTCCTCGCCCAGCTCGGCCTCAGTCCCCTTCAGCCGTAAGATGGCGGCTGCGCAGACAGCCGGGTCCCCGGGCGTCCTGTCTGTTCCCTGCGCGGTGACTGTGCCCTGGCCTGGAGCCCTGTCTGGGCAGCTCTGCACCCGCAGCCGCGTCTCTCCCGGATTGTGCAGGGACCGCAGGAGGGTCGCCAGGGGAGAATCCTGACCCGGGTGCGGGTTCGTGAATGGGAACAGCTTTGGTCCGTGGGATTCCCAGTTCCTCTTTTTTTTTTTATTTTTTATTTTTTACTTTTTATAAAGATGGGGTTTCACCATGATGGCCAGGCTGGTCTTGAACTCCTGACCTCAGGTGATCCACCCACCTCGGCCTCCCAAAGTGCTAGGATTACAGGCGTGAGCCACCGCGCTTGGCCCCTCTTTTTTGTTGAAAATATATGGGAGTGTCTATAGAAACATGAAAGCATTTAATCAAAGAGTGATACAAAAATTGTGGAGTACCCCAGCTGTGGTTTGTAATTTGTGGTCCATGGTTGCGGCTTGAAGGAAAGACTTTTATAAACTGCATGATGAAGAAAACCAACTTCAGTAATTAGTTAGGTATCACAGTTACGTAGTTTCTTGATTTGTATAATAAAGGTGAAATTTTCCTGGTTGTGTAATCAGATGTTCATTGGCAGTTTTTCTTTTTTTTTTCTTTTTCTTTTTTTTTTTTTTTTTTTTTTGACACGGAGTTCCGCTCTTGTTACCCAGGCTGGAGTGCAATGGCACGATCTCGGCTCACCGCAACCTTTGCCTACTGATCTCAGGCAATTCTCCTGCCTCAACCTCCTAAGTAGCTGGGATTACAGGCACGCGCCACCACGCCCAGTTAGTTTTATTGTATTTTTAGTAGAGACGGGGTTTCACCATGTTGACCAGAATGGTCTCCATCTTCCGACCTCGTGATCCACCCGCCTCGGCCTCCCAAAGTGCTGGGATTACAGGCTTGAGCCACCGCGCCCGGCCCATTGGCAGTTTATAATTGGTTAAGGCTGAATTTTGTTTCTCTCAGTGTAATAATTTACTAAAAAATGCACTTCAGTTAGATTTTCTTTTCTTTTCTTTCTTTTTTTTAGACAGTCTCATTCCGTCACCCAGGCTGGAATGTAATGGTGTGGTCTTGGCTCACTGCAACCTCCGCCTCCCCCCGGTTCAAGTGATTCTCCCCCCTCAGCCCTTGGAGTAGCTGGGACTACAGGCGTGTGCCACCACACCTGGCTAATTTTTGTATTTTTGGTAGAGATGGTGTTTCACTATGTTGGCCAGACTAGTCTCAAACTCCTGACCTTGTGATCCGCCCACCTTGGCCTCCCAAAGTGCTGGGATTACAGGCATGAGCTACTACTGTGCCTGGAATAGGAGTCCCCAGTTTTTAAACAGTAGCTCAGAAGCTAGGTGAGCCTGTGGGGTTTGTGACTGGCGTCTGCAGTGAGGACAACGTGGGACTGAGCCCTGAATCAGGGTCTGTGCTGACTCTGGGTGGTGTCAGAATTCAAATGTTAGACATTGAGTTGGTGGTGAATTTCTTGGTGTTCAGCAAACTCTACAGATTTGGTGCCAGAAGAAAGGTATCACAGAGGCCTGGCCTGGAATGGAACTCTCCCCTCTCCTGTACACAGGCTGTCACACTGCCCATTGTCCTGGGATCCTAGGCCTCCTCCCAGGGTGAGAGAGGATGAAAACTTAGAGGAGGGGCTGGGCGCGGTGGCTCACGCCTGTAATCCAAGCACTTTGGAGGCCAAGGTGGGTGGATCACCTGAGGTGGGGAGTCCAAGACCAGCCTGACCCACATGGTAAAACCCTGTCTTAAAAAAAAAAAAAAAAAAAAAAAAAGAAAACTTAGAGGAAAGGACCTGTGATGACAGACCCCCTTTTCTCACAGCTGCCACCATAGGATTCCCACCCACTCACAAAGACACACACTAGACATTGACATGTCCACACCCCTCCCAGGACTAGGCACCACCCTCAGGAACTTCACCACGGCAGTTTTTTTTTTGTTTTTGTTTTTGTTTTGAGACGGAGTTTCGCTCTTGTTACCCAGGCTGGAGTGCAACAGCGCCATCATGGCTCACCGCAACCTCCGCCTCCTGGGTTCAGGCAATTCTCCTGCCTCAGCCTCCTGAGTAGCTGGGATTACAGGCATGCGCCACCATGCCCAGCTAATTTTTGTATTTTTAGTATTGACGGGGTTTCACCATGTTGACCAGGATGGTCTCGATCTCTTGACCTCGTGATCCACCCGCCTCGGCCTCCCAAAGTGCTGGGATTACAGGCTTGAGCCTCCACGCCTGGCCACAGCAGTTTTGATTTTACAAAAACCCACATGTGTATCTGTAAGTCTGATACTGAATATATCCCCACCCCCAGACACTGCATCAGCAGCAGCAACCTGTTTTCCCCACCAGTCTAGGGTTCTGGGCCACCTGTTCATAATCTCATCTGCTCGCAAGCACACGGAAATAAAGTATAGTCGAATCTGGGCCACTCCCTGTCCATAGAACAAACAACTCCTTCCAGCTACGGGGCATTCTTCCCCACCCGTGGATTTTTTTTTTTTTTTAACTTCTTTTGGGTTCAGGGGTCCATGTGCAGCTTTGTTATATAGGTAAAATTGTGTTGTGGGGGTTTGGTGTAGATTATGTTGTCACTGAGGTACTAAGCGTAACACCAAACAGGTTTTTTTTTTTTTGAGACGGAGTTTCGCTCTTGTTACCCAGGCTGGAGTGCAATGGCCTGATCTCGGCTCACCGCAACCTCCGCCTCCCGGGTTCAGGCAATTCTCCTGCCTCAGCCTCCTGAGTAGCTGGGATTACAGGCACGTGCCACCACGCCCAGCTAGTTTTTTTTTGTATTTTTAGTAGAGACGGGGTTTCACATGTTGACCAGGATGGTCTTGATCTCTCGACCTCGTGATCCACCCGCCTCGGCCTCCCAAAGTGCTGGGATTATAGGCTTGAGCCACCGCGCCCGGCCCACCAAACAGGTTTTTAAAAATCTTTTTTGTCCTTTCATTCTCTGTTCCTAACTAGGCCACAGTGTCTGTTGTTCCCCTCTTTGTGTCCCTGTGTTCTTATTATTTAGCTCTTATAAATGATTGCATGCATTTGGTTTTCTGTTTCCGCTTTAGCTTTTTCTTTTCTTTTTTTTTTTGAGACGGAGTTTCGCTCTTGTTATCCAGGCTGGAGTGCAATGGCGCGATCTCGGCTCACCGCAACCTCCGCCTCCTGGGTACAGGCAATTCTCCTGCCTCAGCCTCCTGAGGAGCTGGCATTACAGGCACGCGCCACCATGCCCAGCTAATTTTTTGTATTTTTAGTAGAGACGGAGTTTCACCATGTCGACCAGGATGGTCTCGATCTCTTGACCTCGTGATCCACCCGCCTCGGCCTCCCAAAGTGCTGGGATTACAGGCTTGAGCCACCGCGCCCGGCTTCCACTTTAGCTTTTAAGGATAACGGTCTCCAGCGTCATCTATGTTGCTGCAAATAACTTAATCTTGTTTATTTTTTTTTTAATGACCACATAATCTTCCATGATGTTTATGTGCCATATTTGTTTTTATTTTTATTTTTTTTATTTTTATTATTATTTTTTTTTGAGACGGAGTTTCACTCTTGTTACCCAGGCTGGAGTGCAATGGCGCGATCTCGGCTCACCGCAACCTCCACCTCCTGGGTTCAGGCAATTCTCCTGCCTCAGCCTCCTGAGTAGCTGGGATTACAGGCACGCACCACCATGCCCAGCTAATTTTTTGTATTTCTAGTAGAAACGGGGTTTCACCATGTTGACCAGAATGGTCTCGATCTCTTGACCTCGTGATCCACCCGCCTCGGCCTCCCAAAGTGCTGGGATTACAGGCTTGAGCCACCGCGCCCGGCCACCTTCCAGACTTTTTTTAAATTTTATTTTATTTGTTTAATGATATGCATGCTTTTCTTTTGTAAATATATAATACATTTTTGTAGATAGTATTGATGTGTGATCTTTATTTTGTATTTCTCTGTGTAAAACCAGTGAATATATAACTAAAGTGTTAGTGGATTGGATGAAAAGAAACTTACTAGGCAAGAATAGGTGTTGTAATTACCGTGACTTCTTTTAACCATGCAGACTAATATATTCTGGAGGTTTATAGCTCGGCACCTTCTCCTTTTTTCACTGGTATTTCATGTAAGGCATCAACTACTGTAATTTTTGCTGATGCTGAAGCCTGTCCTTGGGGATTGGATGCATGACACTCATATTCTCCAGCATCTTCCTTACTTAGAGGCGATACCTGCACCCACCCAGAGGAGATACTTCAGCCCCCTAAGTAACTGGGCCTAAAAGCATGCACCACCATTCCTGGCTAACTTTTTGTTCTATCTTTTGTAGGGATCGGGTTTTGCCATGTTGCTCAGGCTGTTCTTGTACCCTTGAGCTAAGGCAATCCACCTGCCTCAACCTCCCAAAGTGCTGGGATTACAAGTGTGAACCACCTCACCCCACCATGCCATATTATTTTAATCTAGTCTACCATTAATAGGCAGTTAGGTTTGTTCCATGTCTTTTGTTTGTTTGAGATGGAGTCTCACTCTGTTGCTCAGACATCAGAGTGAGTGGCATCATCTCAGTTCACTGCAACCTCTGCCTCCTGGGTTCAAGCGATTCTCCTGCCTCAGCCTTACATGCAGCTGGGACTACAGGCATGCCAGCTAAATTTTGTATTTGTAGTAGAGATGGGGTTTCACCATGTTGGCGAGGATGGTTTCGATTTCTTGACCTCGTGATGTGCCCACTTCAACCTCCAAAAGTGCTGAGATTGTAGGTGTGTGCCACGGTGTTTGGCCCATGTCTTTGTTATTGCAAACG